CTCCATTTCTGCCATTGCAAAACAAAAAAACAAAATAAAAATAAATTAGTACAAAATCACAAATAAACATTTAAAATAAAATTATAAATCACCAACAGATATTCATGACACATGGTCCTTATATTACTGTGATTTGCTTATCCTATTTTTTTAATTGTCTTCCCCTATGATATAATATAGTTTGCGTGTTGGTTTTCATGTAATAATTGCTTTTCTTGTTTTTTTTTTGTTCCTAATTTCAATAATTTTTTTAGAGGTCATATGCAATGGTGTGGTACTATATGTTGTACACATTCACATACAATCTTAACCCCATGACTTACTTATCCCTTTCCTTCCTAAAAATCCCCATTATCTTATCATCATGAACAACAATGATCAAACTGAAACCGAGCCTTACTACCCCGACCATGATTTATTGGCTGATTGGGATCATATCTTTCTAAAAATAAAAGATATATGAGCACTATATTGTACGTTGTTCCTTTTAAGTTTCCCTTTGTGCTTGAAATTTAAGTGTGTTTTGTAAACAAGATCATTTCCGAATTTACAAAATCATAATAAATTTAAGGGAATCACACTATACGTGGGGTTTTGTTCGAGAGATATAATACAACAAACATAACTTCAACTGCTGTGATTATATGATAGCATAAAAAGCACATTAATTTCATTATGATTTGAAAACAAAGTACAGTACATAATCGAACTAATACATGAATGGATAGTAGTGCACTTATAGTGCTAGTAGAGTGCATTTATAGCGCTAGTGGATTGCTACATTAGCATAAATGGTAGTGCACTTATAGTGGTGCACCTATAATGGTAATATTTTGCAACATTACATAATCGAATTCCTACATGAATGGATAATCCGTGGGGTCAATGTCTTCTGGTAACTCATCAGTATACGGGTGATTCCTAAACCTACCCTCCAGGATCAACGCATCCCTCCACTCCCAAGACTCATCGTTTTCTCGAATGTGACCACCGTGAGTGTCCCTTAAAAACTTAACAACATTTCGGAAAGTGCACTTGCGACATTCAGTTCTCCACAAACAATGGCGGCAACTCTCGAATTCCAAAAAAATCTTATGCTTAACCATACACCCGAGATGAGGCCTACTGATGACCGTCTCAAGCTGACTCCAATCAATATCTTCTTTCTTGTTAATCCTTAGCCCTATAACACGTAACATCCTCTTGTTTACAGACTGAAATTTTAAAAGGTATCCAATTTCTGGTATCTTTGGCAAGATGTGATCCTCAAATATTTCGTCCCATTTTCTAAAGTCATATAACTCTACTTGTGGAGCTAAAACCCTTTTATGTGAATGCTCCATTGAAAATTTTTGAACTTAGTTTGTTATACTTAAAATATTGTAGTCATATTAGGTATCACAGGAATATATGTAGAGGAAAAATTAGGAGGGAAATGTGAAAGCTCTTACTGTTTTTTCCCTCCAAAAGTACTTAAGAAGGGAAAAAAACCATTGGGGAACCATTTACCTCGATATGTACAAAAAATAAAGACTATAAAAGGGAATAAGATATCCCAATTCCTTTTATTCACGTAGCTTTTACAATTACTTATAAGCTACAATCCATGGGAGAATATTATCCAAACCACGACCATTTCGGTCAATGGGAGGTGATTTTTAGGGGGCATATATATCCGAAAATCAACGAGATTGAATATCTCTTGAAATTTCACTCGTTAAACAAAGAATGGAAGGAAAATACTGGAACATCAACTGATCAACGAGAACAAAAACATCAACTGGAGCCAGTTTTAAAAATATTGTTGTAAGCCAGTTACAAAAGACTCATGTCAACACAACACATTTGAGGAAATGAGCGGGTGTGTAACCTGTCAACATCAAGTAAGTTGGAGAAGACGTTGCTATGAACGTGGGAAACGCTATTTAAGACAAACTCATGGAGGCATAGGCGCAGGGCTTGGATATTGGTTAGGCATCCATTTGTAGTAATTTACATGATTTTAGTTCTTTTAATTGTAGTTGTTTAGAGTCCTTGTAACGTTTTGAAATATAATAACATAGAAATTTACATGATTTTAGTTCAGTATGATTGTTGTTATAACCATTGCTTAAACAAATACATTTTACATATTTAAATATTCAATTTACCGAATTATAATTGATATGTAACAATTTCACCCTGCAATGTCTGGGTAAATAAAACGCAACCCACTCATAATTTATTTTACAGTATCAAAATATCATTTAAAATAGCAAAACAGAATAAATAAATTTAATTCAAATAGAACTAATAGAAGACGATTCAATAGAACAATACCAATAAAATTGTTAAGGATAACATCTTCAAGATCATTAACATAATTTTCTAAAAAAAAAGGATACAAAAGGCCAAAACGGAGAAAACACATACACTGGTAAACCATAAAAGGTCCAAATTTAATAAAACGATAAGAAGATTGCATGACTTCATAAACACAATCCAATGAAACCCTAGACACCCACAATCAAGTCTTCATCCTCCACAGCCTCAATTTGGTTTGGTCCTCGATGTTGTTGCTGCAGCGCCAGAGTTTTCCTGTTGATTTTTAGAAGTTTTCCTTGTAATATCGGTTTTTAATTGTTCTATTAGGATTTGCAATTCAACTTGCCTTTTTTCTGCCTCCTTCATTTGATGGCAAGCCTCAACATAACGCCCTTGAAGATATGACAGATAGTGTTGCAAACCGAGAAACTGCAACTCATAAGGAGATTTTGATGATGAAGCTCCATCTTTGTTATTCATTTTCGGTGATGAGGTAGGTTAGTGTTTTGAAAAGGAAATAGAAGGCGAAGGGGTGTATGGAGAATTGGAGGTTAATGGTTGAACAATTAGTTGAATAATTTGGGTTCTTTTAATAGACTATTAGGTTCTGTTGTAGTCATCTACCCTAGTTTTGTAGGGAATAGTGAAAACCAAAGAACCAACCTTTTTAAAATAATAATTGGGAAAATAATAGAAATTTAATTTTTTTTTTTTTTAATTTATATTATTTCATTTTGTTTGAAACAACATAATTACCGATGAAGACGATTTTAAAAAAAAAGAACAATTATTAATCGGTGAATGGCTAAGAAATCAAGTACATAAATATAACAACTCGGTACTTTCTTGGTTCATTGTCTCATACAACTTTTTCAATGGATTCGTCGCTACTTCGCATTTTTTTGACCAAAAAAAACTTGTGTTACTTCCATAACCCGAATCCGAGCCATGATTAAATTAGTAGTAGCCCCACACAACCACAAACCAAATTTAACCAAAATAAAACTTTCCCTTTCGAAGGAGTCCGAAAAAAATCGCATTTCGTTGGAGATCGAAGAAAACTTGTCCTTCGAAGGAGATAAACCCTTTCTTTCGAGGGTGACTTTACTATAACCTAAGACATAAAATCAAAAATTGAAAAAAATTAAAGATTGAGGCTTAAAACCGGTGAAATCCGATGGAAGCCCCTTCACACTTCACATTGGAGGGTAAGGTTATTGAAAGGTTAAATATATTATTAATTAAGCAACAATCCCTATGGAACGTATAGGACAAAATATGATTCCCACACCGAAAAAAAAAAAAAAAAAAAAACAACAACAACAACACTATAATTAATCCAATGTGAATTATTAGTTGTACACATTGTTACTTTCTAAAGTTATTTACAAAATTTGCATTATTTTTTTGAACCTAATATATAATTACAGAGTAAATTAATGATGTTTCTCCAAAACCACAATCCTCAATTATCATACACTCTCATTTTCGATCTCTTTTTTTTATTTTTTTTTTATTTTATTCCTTTTTGTATTATTTTTTAAAACCGAGTAACCCTTTATTTAACCAAGTAACCCTTGACACACTAAGCAACCACTAAACAAATAACTCAGCGACACAGTGTGGCACGCCAAATATGGAATTTGGTGAAATATTTTAAACACGTCATGTTTTCTACCCTACCCAATAATGTCTACTCTCGCAAATATCTTTTCCTTTTTTGGTAATAAAATTTTTGGAATATCAATACGTAAAACACATATCAGTAGCATTGCACAAGTACACGTACTCTACTTTAAAATTTAAAAAGACTACAACAATTTCAAATTAACAAACTTCTTTGTTCATAAAATGAAAATATTGACAAAGATTTAAAGTTGAGAAAAATCTATTGATTTAAAAAAATAAAAAAAAAATCCCTTAACTCTAACATACTTCATAAAGCCCAAACCTTTATATTGGATAATTTTTAATTGGCTCATAATAGGCAACAGCGTATTCGCTCTATCATATAGGCCCATATATTTTAATACTACAACTGGTTCCATATATTAGAATAATTATATTTAGTGCAAATGTTATGGCGTGCTGATACCCATGTCCCAGTTGGCGAGTAAGTGGTGATTGAGAAAATTGTACTTCTTGGTCCTGGTTTCGATTCCTCTATAACCAGTTTCGCTTTAGTTTTTTTTTTTTAAAAAAAAAAATTAAATACAACAACCTTGAATTATTGAAACAAAAAATAATAACAACATATTTTTGCATTGGATGTACACCAAACTAATATAGACTGGCATAAGTCAACAATCCAAACGTACCACTGGCTAACATCTTCGATTAGGATATTTCTTGTCATCAGATAATTATTTATGTGAACATATTCAAATAAACAATAACACAAGTTAGTTGATAAATAGACAACAATGTACGATACATCCACTTGATCCTTTCGAATTGATAACAATACTTAATATATTCATCTATAAAACAAAGGATTGAATCCAAGATTACTATTAGTACGGTTTGAGCTACTCGGCTGTGATTGGTGGTGCATGGTGTTGAAATCTGAACTTGCCTCACCGCTTGCACTACCTTGCACGTTCATGGATGCACCCACTTGACCATAATTAACCGGTCCAGTCTGACTAGATGTATATCCACCAGGTTGAAATGCACCACTAGCCCCGGGACCAAAATTAGGGAAATAAACCATTGTAAAATTGTGGTTGAAAACCGTAATACACTGATGTATCCACATAATTGCCATTCCCATTGATATTTCCACCATCAAGCTCTTCTGATCCAATTTCTTCATCGTCATCATAAACCTAATACAATACACAATTTTAAAAAGTTGGGTTAAAGCAAATTACCCAAAGATATTGTTATAACATAGACACTGGAAATAATAGTTATTTTTTTTGGTATTAAAAAAAAATTTAACACAACATGAGACTTACGCTTTTCTTCTTCTTTTTACGACTCCGTTTTTCGGCTGGATGTTTATTTCTCTTCGTAGGAGCCCTTCCAGTGCCTCGTTTGTCAACCGGATTCTTAATTTGACCTTCACCTACAGGCTTTGCCACACTTTCAAGATGTCTTTGATTATTCTCCTTAGGCCTTATCCTACGCCGGCCAAAAACTCTATTCATGGATGGGTGACTCCAATCAAAACCATCCACTTCATCAGTCCTACGAATACCAATAACATCTTCAAGAGCAGTACGAACTTTGTTAGTTGCTTCATAATACATTGAGAGTGTCTCATCATTGTGCATTGCTAACGTTGAAAGGTATTTGTGCCTCCTTTGAATTTCATCTTTCTGAGCTACGTTAGTTGAATCCTTAGGGTCGTAATAAGGCACCTTTATGCCCTCGTAATCCCTAACGAGATCCTTCCTCCATCGATTCAAAATATACTTCTCTGGGATGCACTCGATATCTTCAGTATGAATCACCTTGATAATGTGCCAGCACAAGATACCCCTAAACTCAAACAGCTTGTAGCTGCAACTAAATTCTCCTTTTTCCTTATCAACGGAAACCTTAAACGTCCACCTCGTTGCTTTCCATACTGGTTTGGGGATCTTCTCGTCTGCATCATAAAAATTCATTGACCCTATGTTACCTGTTTTAACTATATTGGTGTGCTTTAGCCCTATCACCTCGTCCCTCACCTCCAAAAACTTCTCATTAGTGTAAGCCTTGCTAAACACCACCTCGGCTACTACAGTGTTGTCATAGAAAAATGGATTACGCTTTGTTTGGTAATTTAGGTCCTTTTCCGTTTCCACTCACCACGGTTCGTGCTTTCACTACGTTGCGTTGATGACATGCCAGCCCAAAAGAGCCCACACCAATAGCCAGGCGCCCACCGATGCCTATTAGCATATGCGTCACTTAACCAAGTGTTCTTTTGTAACTTGTACTTTATAACCATTGCCTTCCATGCATCCTCAAACTCTTCAATGCTAAAATTATCGTGAACAACATGATCCAAATCTGTCTCTATCTCCTTCCATCTCGGTAACTTACCCAAGTTCCTTGCAGCGTTTTGCTTAATGTGAAATAAACATAGCCTATGCGGCACATCTTGAAACACATTTTCCACTGCCTTCCCTATAGCCTTACACTGGTCAGTCAATATTCCTTTAGGGGGTTGGCCCATACATTCAACAAAGTGTCTAAATACCCATTCGAATGACTCGGAATCCTCATGACTGATTAAGGCAGCTGCAAAATGTATATTAGACCCATGATGATTGCAGCCTACAAATGGAGAAAATGGCATTTTGTACCTACAACATTAATTTAGAAGATAAATGATTTATGTTACACATAAATGATTCTGTAAAAAAAATAAATGATTCATCTTACAAATATATGATTCTGTAAAAAAAATACATGATTAGATAAATGTTTCAGGTTAAAAATAAATGATTCTGTAAATAAAATATAATGTGTTTATGCAACGTCATTATACCTGTTACATAAGAATGTTGTATCAAACGAGACAATATCACCAAAATCTCGGTACATTGCACGACCCCTAGCATCAGCCCAAAAAACATTTAGAAGTTTTCCTTCTTTATCTTGTTGAATAGCACTATAAAAATTAGGATCTTCTTCAGTCATCTTTGTAAAACGTTGTTCTACGGCATGTGCATCCCCTTGAAATAAGATAAGTCGGCGTTGAACGTGCACTGCATTTATCATATCTTGCTTGGTGAACGACAATTTCGAATGTCCTCCTTTCTCAATAACGAACGAATTAAAGCTCTTACCCAAAGAGATCCCAGCAGCATCGTTTAGTGCCATTCTCTCATAACTATCGTCTTCTATACCTCTATAGTTCACCATACGCCTTGTACAATCCGGCAAAAGAGGATGATTGTGATCCAACACACATTGTGTGATTACAAACCATCCCCCTCACATTCTTCCATCAACATATATCTTACATTCTATACAAGATTTCTTTTTTTTTTTTGCGTTTATGCTCTACATTTTTGCTCCTATCTTTGACACTAAGCTTACAATCCATTCTAATACGAGACATCATATGGTACTTCGGCTCCTTTTCCCCAACACCTCTACGATTAACGTCTGCTACTTTGTACTCCTTCATCAATGTATCTGTTCTAACATAAAATTCAAATCCTTTCTCATAAGCGTACTTATGGCAGCATTGGGCAAATTCTTCACCGGATTGAAATAACATCCCAACAGCTGGGACAATGGCAGCAACAAGATTATTGTCATTGTCTACACTGCTATTAGTTTGGTTAACAGGAACATCATCACCTTTAGATGACGAACTGACATTTTCCTCTGCCTCTTCATTAAGATCAGGAATTATATTGTCGTCATTCTCAACGCCTTGGTTCATCTCATCCAACACATCGTGTTCAATGTTTACAGCTTCACCAGATAATTGGGCTTCGCTTTCCATTTACTGAAACAATACGCAATACAATTACATAATAAACAATTTGATACTAGAAAATTACAAATGACACATACATTAACAAAGTAATACTGTAAATTTAAAAATGTTATATAATATATTAGAACAGGGGATGTCAAATTTTAAGTAATTCTATAACTTTTAACGAACTCCTGAAACAGCCATCACAAGTTAGAATTGAAAGACAAACATTCGATCTACCACAATCCCGAAAGAATCACGAGCTCGACTGCAAATAACTTAATTGGACATTTAAACATCAAGTCGTTATAACCGTCTAAAATTACAATGATAATGGAAATATAACCCTTCACAATAAAGGGGAAGTCAACAATTAATGGGGAAAATATCGGATTCTTCAATTATTAACAAAGAAATCAGATTGCAGAAGTGGGGAAGAATTGATATTACACTTACATTAGTATAGATGTTGAATACTATGTAGAAAATTATTTGCATGCTAACTTGCTAGCTATGTCAATGGCAGCAATAAAATAGATTGAAGGACAACGATGACGAAATTAAGTGGGATCCATAATCACTTTGGCGCTCTCTCACAATATTCCCGCCTTAGAACAACAAAATACTGCCAATAGCCCAGACAAACTACCGCTCAGTTTTCCCTCCCATTATTTTGCCTTCCCTCTTCTTTTGTGTAGGACCAGCTGAGTTGTCAATAATTTATTGGTAGTGTGTAAAATTCTCTTACACACCGAGTGTGAATGTAGAGTTTTCGTTAAAAAACTAATTAAGCACTTTCTTAAAAGTTTCCCTAAAGTTAAATCTCCCTAATCACTATCTATATAAAACATCATTTCCGATAAGTTCAAGCACTAAAAATCTAGCAACAAAATTACAAACCCCACAATATTAATCTTCATAAAATAGCATGGAAAATTTAAAGCTGTTGGGATTTTGGTCAAGCCCATTTAGTTGCAGAGTTATTTGGGCACTAAACTTAAAAGGCATAAAATATGATTATGTTGAAGAAGATCTTACTAATAAAAGTTCATTACTTCTACAATATTATCCAGTTCATAAGAAAATCCCTGTTTTGGTTCACAATGAAAAACCAATTTGTGAATCTTTAGTTATCCTTGAATATATTGAAGAGATGTGGCCCCATCATCATCCATTGTTGCCCAAGGAACCGTATGAAAGAGCCTTGGTTAGATTTTGGGCCAAATTTGCTGAAGAGAAGGTATATTCTGAACTATTAGTTGGATCTTATTATATTCGTCTTGATACAAAAAAGAAAAAAAAATAAAACAAATTTTGTTATATAACTTTTATTAATATTGATATTTGATTGTCAAAATAATATTGATATTTGAAACAATTTATTATTGAACTTATGTAATAGAAAAATAGCAAGCATGAAAGTCTAAATACATGTTACATATACAAAAGTAGAGGAAATGTTTTATTAACAGTAATGGTTTGCATGAGATTCGATTTAAGATCTTAGCTACTCTGTTCTAATTATGATTTCTGTTCTTATTTTGATTTGGTCAGACAGTTTACTCCTTTATTTATTTATTTTTTTTTTGGTATATAGTACGAAGTATTATCTTTACTGGTAAAAAAAAAGTATTGAATATTATGCGTGATTATTTAGATAAGAAAACTAAAAGTAGAAATCTTAAATTAAAATGAACATTAATTTCACTTATGGACACATGATTTTGTCATACATTTCCAAATTAATACTCTGTACCACTTTATATAATATTTTAACATGCTTATCTAACGTTCCTAGGGCGTTTGTTAGCAAGACCCTTGAAAAAATCTCATGTAATTGATTGATTTAGGATCACCTAGGAATATATTAACTCCTTTATAAGATTATGATTTTCAAACTTCAACTAATATTGCTAAATTACTAACTTCTTATTATAAATCATGTACTTATATTACAGGGCATAGCTTTTTGGATGTTTGCACAAACCACAGGAGAAGAGCAAGCCAAGGCTAAAAAGGATAGCATGGAAATGCTAAAAACTTTAGAAGAGCATGGTAATCTAGGAAACAATACTTTTTTTGGAGGTGAAGAAATTGGAATGGTAGATTTGGCATTTGGGAGTTTAATATATTGGTTACAAGTTATTGAACAAATTGTGGAAGTTAAGATATTTGAAGCCAACAGTTTCCCTCGCTTATATAAATGGTTCAACAGTTTCAAAGATGTTCCAATAATCAAGAACAATGTCCCTGATCAGAATCAACTGTATTTACACTTCAAGAAGTATAGAAACAGACAGATGGAAGCTACATCTGCGTGAGATAATTTATATTCGGAGATCGATCTGGAGCTGAGGGGGGACGGTTTGTCCCTCCATCTCCCCCAGGAGTGACCTTGGTTCGATCCTCACCCCACCCCTCCTGTGAGAGGGACATCCCCGTATCTTACCGTGAAAAAAAAAAAAAAAAAAAAATTGAGGGCAGGGAATACGACTTCCCATGTAGTGGCAAAGTGTTGTAACGTATGTAATAATATGAACTCCAAGTATGTTTGTTTCAACACGATGGTCCAAAGTATCTTATTTTCGGTAGAACTTGATTTTTTTTCTTAATAAGTTTATATCCTCCAAAAAGATTTAAACTACAACAACAACCGGTATTTACAATCCTATGATATAGATTGGCAATAGCAAGAAGAGAAAAAAAAAAGTAGAATATTAAGCATTATCACAACCCTCTGATATACATTGGCAAAGTGGAACACAAAACCTATAACTATTAAGTAGAAGTATACATATTATTTAGACTACAAACTGATCACACTCAGACATTACTCCACCCAGCTCTTATTATAGGCAATTTTAATTATTCAAGAAACAAGGAAAAACTGTAAATATTACCTATTGGCATCATAGGACCACTAGAAAAACTTGGCCTAAATTATGCCATTTGAATTCAATTCCTAAACAAAGAAACTGCAGGGAAAAACTCTGTATGTATAAGTTAGAACATAGGTCCAGTCCCGCTATCCTTGTGTGCATCTGGGACACTTGAGTAAGCGAAGATAACATTGGACATCTCCCAACCCCAGTCATCCCTCCTCGACACAGCCAAGCGAGGCCAACGATTTATCCTGACATAGTTTTCCCTGATCTTTCCATCTCCGACAATGCTGGTAACAATTGTGTAAGTACACTCATGGCCACCCCAAACCTTGTCGTCAGGGTCTGCAGTCTGGCTCCCATCAGCATGGAAGTAACGATGCATTGGAGAGCCTGAACCTCCCCAGTATGGATCGAGATTTTTCCAATAAGCAGGGGCAGCCTGGTAATTGAAAGAGTAATGATGTTAGTGAACCCTGAATAGAACTGTCATAGTTGAACAGGTAGAAGACAAGATGCTCTGCTTTGCAAATCTTATGACATTAAGTGACTTTAATATGTGCATGATTTTCAAAACCCAACAGCTTTCTTAAATAGAATTCTAATCAAGGTTGCTCTTTCGATTCACGACTTACAAAGAGGGTAAGTAAGTTTGATCTCCTAAGCGCTAATTTATGTATTAGTCCATTATAATGAATGTATATAAGTTTCGAAAATGGTTGTAACACACTATCACTTGGCATTATTCTGTTCTGTATGCATATATCCTTGGAATTACCCTCTTAAATTTTAAGCATTCCAAATCTATATGAAATCAAATATTGGCCAAAAATGAAATTGCCCCTCCCCCCTCCCTCTCCCTCTTCCCCACAGTAAAATAGCAGTAGTAATTTGAGCTCATTTCGTTGCAAAAAGAGACTGCAAAATTGTTGCAAGAAATCCTCAAATTTGAAGAGAAACATATTTGCTAAAAAGGAAAAGTACCAAATCTGCAACTGAAAACTGTGATAAATTTTAAAACACGTACAAGGTGTGTACTGTGTACTAGAGGGGAAAATTACCAAATTCACAACTATAATACATATGAAATTGAGACAAAAAATACGTACTAGGAGGAAAATATGTCATATTTATAGATTAAAACATACCTCAGTGAAATGAAAATCCCAGGAATGGTCGCAGAGATCCTCCCTCATAATACGGATCTATAAGCACCAAAGAAGTTAATAAATAACAGCAAGACAATATACAAAAACAACAAAATGCACTTGATGCACGAGCACTTACAAAGAAAATAAGTGCAGTCTAACATGAATTAAGGCAGATAAAAGAGCTAAAAGAAGACTAACCCGCTTACTATCAGTGACTGCACGGGAATAACAAGCTAACTTTGACAATCCTGGTACTTTAGACCATCTGGGTATATGCGCTTTCCCAATCCACAACTTTTTACACTGAAATCAGTGAGGTTATTCTTTAGAATAAAGGAATTATTGATGATTGTCTATTTGATTTCATAAGCTCAACTAATGTTAAAATCTGTACAGCCACAGGAAGTAAAATAATGCAAATGCACAAACAACAGAGACAAAGAGTCATAGAATCGAATATATACAAAAATATCTGGACAAAAATTAGACTTGCCGATTTGAATTTTAAAGCCCATAGACTAAGGGCCTATTCTCATAGACTGAACTCAGCTGAACTGAACTAAAATGAATATTTTATAGAGAAGGAAATTAGGAGCTGAACTGAATTGAGTTGAGCTGAACTGAAAATAAACGTATGAGAACATGCCCTAATCTTAACAAGTAGAGAGAAACTAATAAACTATTAATCTATTATACCGAGGATCCTCAACTGTCAGGCAGCTTCAGCTTACTTCACATGTCCAAATTCTACACAAATAGCTATTTAACTTGATTTAACAAAGATTTTTTAAAAATGGAGTGGTTTTATGGGAAAAATCCAGTGAAGTTATGTTGTCTAAACTCTATTGTTTGCAGTTTCATCAGTCCATACTTCATTCGCTTCTATGGCTGTATCTGCCTATATGACACACTAAATACACTGTAATCTTATCATGTAATTGTTGTGGCTAACATTAACAAAAACAAGCAAAAAAAATCATGTCATATTTTAATAGAAGAGTAGTAGAAGAGATGACTATTATTTCAAGATTACTCAACTTGAATTAGGCCATTTTCTACTCCGTAATCAATTTTTAATCTATCTGAACTTATTTTATCGAGTTTCATTTTGTGGACTAACAAACACTGAGGTTCATGGGAAGTTAGCTAGCACTGCATTAAAGTTTTTTTTTTGCTTCTCTATAAATACAAAATACAGAGTACAATTTATAGTCCGTTGACACCCAACTACCACAACATCAACACCCGTCTTTAAAATCGTACTCATTCTATTAATGTTATTTTAGGTGTCATTTAAATTCTATATTTATAGATAGAAACCATGAACAAGCATGTTTAACGGCTTATCCGTAATTTGCTCATTTAATCAACAAACGAGCAAGTCAATTTTTTACTCATTTGTTGATTGAACAAGCAAATGAACTCGTGTACAATACACGTAGATGTACAAAATTTCACTAGAATTTCCAATATTGTCACTAAAATTAACAATTATAATACTCCCTCCGTCCCCGAATGATAGTCACTTTTGGATAAAAATCACGGGAATTAAGGAGAAATAAATAAAGTACATGAAAACTAAAATCCAATCATGTGCAAAACAAAAAGAAGAGAGAGAAACTGATTGTCATTAAAAAGGGAGACAACTCATTCAATTAAGGCACAAGTATAAAGGCAAATATGAGGGTATTTTGGGAAGCACAGATAATACAGAAAAAAAATGAGGGTATATAGGTCATTTTATGTTATTATATGGAACCTTAAATTGTGAAATGTGATTAACATTTTGGGTGTCCAAGAATGGAAATAGTGACTATCATTCGGAGGGAGGATAACATATAATTAAAACAAAATTCAATAAACTTTACAAAAAAAAAAAAAAAATACCAAGGGAGACCAAAAAGAATCAGAAGAAGCAAGCGAAAACCAAGAGCGGGACACGAGAAGAGAGCGTGCCAAGCTGCGTGCATCCAAACATCCCATTATTCTCATCATTATATCTTCACCCAACACTTCCATTGGATCATTTTCATTACTATTTTCAATTTCATTTTCCGTCTCTTCTCGCCGTCGTTGTCGCCGTTGCCGCTTTCTTGTTCCGCTCATCACCGCCATCGTTATCGTGTCGGAAACCAACTCCACCACCATCACCCCATTCGATCTCGCCATAGCAAAAAAAATATATGTAGGCGAAGAAAAAATGGGGTTTGATCTAATTTACATGAATAAATTTATTTAGTTGTTGTTGGTATTGATTATATGGAGAGTTTGAAAGAAAGATATACCGACCGATAAAAAACAGGGAGGAGACTTCAGAGAGTTCGGAGGATGACACGTGGCGGTTTGATGTCGGGTTTTGATTGGATGAAGGTGAGATTTTTTTTATATTTACTATGTCGGAATCTGGGAAAATAGTGAGAAGAGAGAATGAGAATTCCACCTGATGAATGGAAACATGGATTTTTTTTAGTTGAGTTTAGTTTTGTGGTTATTTAACACCAATGATAATTTGACATTGCTTCTTTGTTTAGTTTTTGTTAATATTTTATCCATTAATTGAATTTTTTGAACGGTCATTAATGCGTACTTTATTGATATATTTTAAAGGATCTTGTTACGAACGTCTTTAGAACGTTAAATAAACATTTAAATAACTTTTTTAACTCTTGTCAAAAAAAAAAAAACTTTTTTAAGTAGTGTTAATTTAAAAATGTATGTTAAAATTATATGTCGATCCATGTAATTAATGTATATTTATTCTAATATTTTTATTTTCAGTTTGCTTATTCAACGCCCGCGACATTTGTTAGCTTTTGTCCATTTAAAATTGCTCCCATTAATCTGAACTTTGCCTCGTCCGTCGAAAATAATCCCAACTTTCGTGTATTATTTATCACTCCCAACTTTAGGGGTATTAATTTTTGTTGCACCCAACAGGTCATCTAACCTGATGTATCAGGTTACCTAGACACGTGTCAACACATGATAGGTCCAAAAAAATAAAAAGAGAAAAACAAAAATTAAAATTAAAACAAAAAATTTTTTTAAAAAAAGGAAAAATACCCAGCCCCCCACCCTATCCCGAAAAACACCACATCCCTACCCCCTACCCCGCCGGAAAAACCGCCCCTTCCCCGAAACCCCTCCCCTGCTACCGGAAACCGCTGCCCAGCCACCCCTTCCCTTCCCCCACCCCCGATAACCCCTCCCCGGCCCCGATAACACCCCTCCCCAGCCCCCGATAACCTCTCCCTAACCCCCGATTACCTTCCCCAGCCCCGAAAACCCATCCCCAGCCCCCGATAACCCTTCCCCAGCCACCGATAACCCCTCCCCACCCTCGAAATCGGCGAACCCAGCCACGAAATCGGCGACGCCTATGCAGGAAATCGGCCGGTTTAGGGTATTTAGCCCCAACATCGGCCATTTTCGGCCATTTTTGGCCAACAGTGGTGGTGGTTTGATGTGCGTCGGTGGTGTTCGTGTGGTGGTGGGTGTGGTGGGGGTGCTGCTGGGTTGTTCTGAAATTATTTATTTATTTTTTCACATTTTTTTTTTTAATTTTCTTTAATTTTCTCAACCAATTACATATTGACACGTGTGCAAAAAAAAATCACAAAGGTTTATCTGCTTTACCGGTTGCAAGTCATTTGGGTGCAATTGAAATTAATATCCCCTAAAGTTGGGAGTGATAGATAATAAACGAAAGTTGAGATTATTTTCGGCGAACGAGGCAAAGTTCAGATTAATGGGAGCAATTTTTTAAAAATATCTGTAAAAATCCCTTCGTCATTTTTAATTTTTTACGTTTAACTTTTTAAAACTTTAGGTTCGGCTTTCTAAACATCTGTTTTTTTTTTTCCATATCATATAGAAACCTATCATATAATCATATTGAATATATACGTGATTAAAGATGAAGATTGATGGAAGTATTTTCTATTGTTTTTTATTTGTTCAATATGTTATACTCCATCTGTTCCTAAATAATAGTTTCTTATGGGTAAATTTTAGTTCCACAATGTTCACCGCATTTGCTTTTCCAACAATCATTAATATTAATTTTTTTTTACCAAAACTCCCTTCAATTTACAATAATATTTATGCAAATTTAAATTTTTCATGTAATTTTTTTTTCTCACGTATTTTTATTACTTTTTCTCTCTATATTTTTATATCCCCGATGTCAATTTACTTTTTCAATGTATTTTTACTATTCTTATTTGTGTTTATTAATTCCCGTGAAAAATACCTATAACGATTTATTAATAGGGAACGAAAGGAGTATGTATAATTTTCTATGTACTTCCATTTATTTTAGATAATAAACACAATTTTTTGATCCGTCATACATGCCACTGTATTTATAAAATAATAAAAAGAAATTAATGAAGGTGTTATGACGTGGAAGTGGAGATTAGATTATGTTTTACAGTTTTGTTTGTGTGCTTTTTCTAATTTTTCAACGGGTCCAATGTCAAACATGACTTTTTTGGATTTTCTTATGTTGTGCTGGCATGGAAAGTTGTCTAGATGTAAGATATTTTTAGCAGATATTTTTGGAGGTTTTCGATTTTTTTATTTTTTGACAAAAAAAAAAAAAAAAAAAAAAAGCGCTTTAGAAAAGGGTAGCCTTGGAAAAAAAAAGAGCTGACACTTTTGTATAGATTTTGGTACCATGTACAACCACATCAATCAATAAGCAAATTAACGCGTATCAACATATACTTTGTTACTATCAATTTATGCTACTCCGTATCAGAAAAATTCTAATCAAAAAGCAAACCAATTGTAAAATACAGAGACTAACAAAGCCTACAAAACTTGAAAGCTGCTGAAATACACTTGGCAAAGCCTGAATCAGGTTGGTATTCCTATGGTTTGCTCAAGTGTCATCTCCACAAGCTCATTAGCACGAAACCAATGTAAATTATCACAATTTCTTAAATAGCTGGATCATCTGCATGCCGCTTTGCAATACTCAACCAGAGTTTATTTTAATGTGTTTAGCATTACTTTCATCAACAAGCTCGTTAACACAAAACTGATGCAGATTGTCGTACATATTTTTCCATTGTTGGACCATCTGCGTTGCCCTCTTGCACTCCAGCTTTAGTCGCTCAACTTCCATTTCTGCTGCAGTAGTTGAGCCTTGTTGCTAAACAAGAAAGAAAACGATAAGAAAAAATGTTGGATATCTATGTTGTAAATATTTTTGTATTAATGAAGAATTATGTATAGTGTCGTATGAAAATTTGTATGACTATTGGATTCTATATTTGGATAATTGGAACTTTTCATTGGTAATTGTTAATGTGGATAATTGTATTATTTCATTATTAACTATTCATTAGTTATAATGGATAATTGTATCTTTTCATTACTTGCATCTTTTCATCCATGTTTCTTTGTCTATATAGTTGTTGGTTGTTCTGATTTATAAATATAGAATATTAGTTTTATTTACTCTCTCAAGATATACATGCATATAGTTGCGGTTACTCTAACCTAGTTTGTTCGCTGGTTTCTTATAATTACAATACCATGAGAAACGAAACCCGTTCTATCTTGGGAGAAAATTGCTTAATAACCTTGGGTATCGTAGAGGGAGCAAAATTGTCTTAAGGACACAACGTGATTTGTAGGGCTCGGGTCATAATATTCTACATTTTGAATCAAGTATAAAGGTATGTAATATGTTTTATTTGTTTTATATATTAGATATATAATTATTTAATTCTTAATACTAGTTTTCGTATAGTATTAATAACAAAAAATAGACTACACACATATATAAACGGATTGATATCGATAACTAACCTGAAACTCTTTGATTTGGTTGTTCATCACATCTTCGATGAGGTAAGAACCACCACCTGGATTAGAAGAGCTATCACAACCAATAAAAGCCTTTGTCCCCATTATCTCCTCGCTAGAATTTGCATATTTGTCAAGCGAGGGAGGCAATAAGGCCTTCCTACCATGAGAAGCTTGGGACTTCAACTCGCTCTCTGAAATCCTAGTAATCAGAACGTTGGTCACTGGACCTGTCAAGCAAAGCAGCTCACATATTGATAGTTTGAATTTTATTGTTGGGCAAGACTGTAACAAAACAATGTACTGTAGTGATAATATGGCAGGAAGACTTCATCCTCTTTTTTGTGTTCCCTTTTTTGTTAAAAAAAATCCATTCATAGTAGCAGACTGGCAAGTAAAACCATAAGAGGGAAGTTAGTAGCACAAACTTAACACAAATTGGAACCAACATAGTTATTAGTGGATACTTTGTGCAGTTGCTAATAAATTTTAGGTTTACACCATATTAATTTGAGGGTGAGGGTGAGCCATATTATTCCTACACAATATTCACAAACGGACTACAGCTTCTTACTGATCAATTTCTACAAAAGAAATGCTTGTGTACTCATAAATTTAGATTTTTGATGTGCAGTTACCTTACATAAAGAACAAGGATATTTCAAGTATACTGAAATGTGATTTAAATAAGATGAGACATTATAACAAGTATTTTGAATAGCAACAAGTGACTGATTGGCGAAATAAATCCCCTAGATCTTAATGTGCTAAATCTATACGTCAGCATGATTTTCTTTCACTATCATTCCAAACACATAAAAAGATACGGAGTAGTTGAGAAACAAGATTTTCAGCTCCTATCAAAATTAAATTTCAAGAAGTCCAGATAATTATACAGCAGAATCGACATATAAAATTTCACATTATTACATAACAATCCAGTACTCCAGATGAACTTGAAGTGATTAATAAAAAATTCCACATTAATACATAACACATAACAGTCCAGTACTCCAATTGAACTTGAAGTGATTAATAAAACCTAGATACATCACAGATAATTTCATTAAATATTTTTCACGATAACATTACAAGAACTGGTGTAATAATATTAACTCATCCTTAGATGCACGTAGACTCCAAGCTACCTGTTTATCTTAATCATCTATAATATTCATTAAATGCTTAAATTTTCCAACACTTTGGTCAAAAAAATTAAAAAAATTCCAACCCAATCTAAACAAAAGGTAGTGTCTCTTTTTTTTTTTTCTTTTTTTTGTTTTACTGTGTGTGCATGTTGGGGGGTATCTCCCTAGGTAGTGTGAGCATATTCTATCACTGAGATGTCAAAGTTGTAACAGTCCCCACTACCTGCTTTGTGCTCCTCGCCTTAATATTAAGGATATGACAAGGACATGATAACAAAAGCACATCAAACCAAAGCGCAGAACACAAATATTTAAGATATCATAAGGAGGTTGTTAGGTGAGTCATATTACCTTTACCATGTGTAAACATGCGAACAATATTACGAGTTCTAGTATCCCATACACGAATTTTGCCATCCTCTGATCCAGATACCAACGAGATTCCATCAGCACGGAATGCTAGAGAGGTAACAGCCCTACTGTTGACCACAAGAAAAGAAGGGGAAAGGCAGAGAGTAAATAATCTAGAAAATGATACCCAATAACAAAACTTCTGCTTTCTATGAACATAAAATTACTTCCTGCTCTCTCTGAACATGGATATCAACCCCCAAAAAAAGGACAACAATAGATACAAAATGTACTACATTCAATGAACATTGGCTTAAAGTCTAAAGAAGACTTTCAGAAGTTTCTTCAATTTCATTTATTTATGATAAAAGTTAAATGCAACAGACAATTAAAGAAATCTAATATTTGCTAAATAAGCAAGAATACAAATTATATTGGCAATTTATACAACCTCCTAATGGTCTCTGTACTAAATTATTCCACATGGCATTCATAAGAGATTATAACTTATAAGCAATAAAAAAGCGTGCAAGTCTGCAAAATTAAACAAGTAAAAGCTAAGCCTATGGGGAAAGCTCCCCCCCCCCCAACACACACACCCACACACACACACACACAAAAAAAAAAAAAAAAAAAAAAAAAAATAATTAAAACCACACGTGTCAGGTAGATCTCAGCTAGCCTAATCCAGCACAATCTCAAGTTAATTTTGCCAAAACTAACTTGAAAGATCAAGACAGGTGATGAAACAAGAATATTTCACATCAAGGTCAGTCATTGTTCTCCAAATCAGTGTTCACAGATATAAGAGAACCACCTCCAATGCATAACTTTCAGCATTTCCTTGAGAATTTATATGTAGTAACTAACCACTTGGAAACAAAACAACAAACCTACTGCCGTAAAAGGGTAACTCTTTAAAGAATGGAGGTAGTAACTAGGATCAAAGATTAGGTAAATTTAACAAGTGAACCTTATGGGACAGACAATAAAGAGTAATGATTTCAACAACTCCCTCAAGCCAAGTTCACAACCCCATTTTGTGGACAAGAATGAGAGCAACAACGAGGAAGGGCACAGTGGCAATGCACCCACTTTTTGATCTTGAGGTTGCAAGATCAAACGCTCAATCGCCCATAGCCTCATAGGGGAAAAGGAAGTACTCACCTAGGTGGGCTTACAGTTAAGATAGGCAGCTGAGTCAAGTGTTTTTGTGCACCTCTTTAAACATAAGATAAAGAAGCCTAGGTGGGAATATAAACAATAGTGTTAAAACCATTTCCAACAAAGAGTGGCGGGAGGAAATATTTTAAGATATATCAGGGTTATGTCCACTTTATTTTTGTTTTTCTATTTATGTGATTGATTGATCCTGCACTTACAAGAGAGTTAAGAACTAAAACGGATATGCATTGCAAGACTCCATTATCACCATCTATTTGAGAAATTTTAGCTACATTGGTTTAGAAAGTTTTTGTTTGTAGTTGCATGTAGGAATGTTTAGAATGTGCCATTGGTAGCCTCAAAGAATCTCAGTATCACGGCATCCTAATATATATGCAGAAAGGACCATGTCCACACTGAGAAGGACATGTTGAAAAAGCAGGAAAATAAAAAATGGAAATAGGTGAGGTGAGGAGAGGAGAGGAGAGGGTTAGCCCACGTGCCTCATATATGTACCTAAATACAGGTAAAACCAGATAACTATGCAAAGTAGCAGACCTTATAAATACAGAATAAAGGTTTAGCAATTATGCTTTCTGCAATTTTTTTTATTAGTGCAAGTCCATCCCAAGATTATATAATAGCATCTACTCTCATGAAAGGCAGATTAAGTAATCAAATCTGCACATTAGAGTCTAAGACATGCCCTAAACTTATTGTTCCCATCACATGCCAAAACATAAGACTCTAATACATACGTATGGTTGAGAATCTTGGGAACCCAGCTCCCTATCACTAAATTCATCTTATTTTTCTCATTTATCAACAAGTTAGTTACAAGTCTTTTTATAAATGGAATGGTTAGTTATTAAATACAAGGTTTCAAGTTACTTTCTCAACCCTCCTCAGATGATTTACATAAATACTTTTGCATTGTGTAGTAGACTCATAATTACTTCCCAGAGAAATATATTGAGTCCATAGAGTATACAATAATTTTACAAGCATTAAAATCCTTCTTTAGTCCTGACATTTAAGCATATTTAACTAGAATAAACACAGTCAAATGAAAGGAATACTTGAAGACGAAAGGGATTAGAAGCAAGAGATTACTAGGCAAGGTCAACAAGTTAGCCAATAATACTCCAAACACAACAGAAAAGCTTGACTCATATCTATTAAAGCAAGTTCCAGTTTTTGTTCAATATGTAAGGAACTACTAATTAAATAGAACTCCTTATCTCCAAGTTTAATGATGAACTTATCCTCAAGTGTCAAGGTAATTGAACTGTTCATAACGTCCAAATAAACATTCAAACGAATTGCTCCAAACAAAAGCCGATAGACAAAAAGCCCCATAAGTCAGAAACCTATAAATAGCTAATCAACAAATGATATTCAACCATTAAGTGATGAACAATGAATAGAGCACATGCCAAGCTTGTAAAACCACATTTGATGTAGCTAATAATCAAACAAACTTTCAATGGCAGAGCACTGCTCTCAAGACATCAGACTGACTAATTCAAAAACTAGAAGAGTAAATCAACCAAAGGGTTTAGTGATGTACAATAATCAAGTTACAGACCTTGAATCAGCTAATGAGCCAATAATATGCTTTCCATAGTCAGTACTATTCGTAGTCAAAGCATTGAGCGCAGCTATGTATATCTTCCCATCTCTACCACCAGCATAAAAAGCATATTCACCCACATCAATGGCAATTGCATTGATAACAGCTGGGAACGTAATGTTCCGCAACAATCTTCCTGTCGCCAAGCTCCACACCTAGAAATATTTAATTTAAAATAGGATAAAAAGATAACTCAAAAAATAACAAATTAACAATAATAATAATAAATATATAAATAAAAGAAGTAATTATTTCATATTCTGATTTGACGATACATCAACAAATGAATTTCAAGATCATAGGAAGCAACAACTAGCCCATGCAAGAGCATACTTTGTAACTCATTCCTTTTCATTTTTCATCTTTAATCATTATTGATAACCTGAAAAACATATCTCACCTTACAAGTTTGGTCCTCTGAAGCAGAAATAATTACAGCATTAGATCCACCATGACCTGATTTGACATCTGTAACTCGCAAAGTATGCTCTCGAAAATTATGCACATGACCATGCCTAGCTTCCTTTCTTCTAGCATCATCAAACATCCTGAAAAGCACAAGAAAGAGGTCAATTGTGGCAAAACTATCATCCTAAAGAACATAATAGTCACAGGTAAATTGATAGCTTAATTTACGATCAAATTCAAGCAGTACATGAAAAGCGACCAAACTTTAACACGTCCATCTTCTGCACCAGATATAAGCAGGGATTCATCATCTGACAATGCCAAACAAGAAACAGCCCCATAATGTGCACGCCATTTCTTCAGTAATCTACCAGTATAAACCTAATCCACACACAGAAAGAACAACCAAATATATAAAGAGAACATGAATTTATCATAAATTCATAAACTTTAACTATCTTATCTTGTAAAATTTAGTTCATGCTGCATACAATATAACTGTATCAAAAATGACACATAAATAATACACTTACAGATTTCACTAAAGTTCCTACTTACCATATGATATTTCTTTGGAACTTGAATATTATTTGTTGATGAAAAAATAAAGTTCTTTGTTCCTGAAATCTTCTAAATTCTTCCAATAAAAATAATAATAATAATAATAATTTTTTTTTAAAAAAAAAAACATAGTCATATACTCATATGAAGTTTGTTTAATAATAATAATAGCAAGGTGATGGGAATGCTGTATCCCATCACCTTGCTAAGCTAATGCCGTTTGGTGTTGAACAAGTTTGGATTAACCATTGCCCTGAAATGGTTGCTCCTTATGTACTCTCGGACACTTTGTCCCTTGATTAATAAATGCATTAGCTAGCTTGCCCTCAGAAAAAAAAAAAAAAAAAAACAAGCATTTAACAATATACTATGCATAATTTATAATTTTTCAATAACAAGTATCAAGAGATACTAAAACCGGGACATCTAAAAAAACAAAAAGCTTTTAAATTCTTCCATTTTTAAAAAAATAGTTGTACACTCATATGAAAGTCTTATTTGATTCGTTGCAGTAAGTAATTAACAACATCAACTTGTAATTTTCACTAACAAGTAAAATGAGATATTAAACCCAGGACATGCTAATAAAACAAAATGAGAAGAACATTTAGAAATGGAGAAAGTACCTCCCAAACAAAAACATCACCGGAAGCACCGCCACCAATGAGATAAGTACCCTCACGATTCGATACTAACGGTTTTATCGGCTCAACCGGAAAACTCTTGACTTCAGGCTGAGGCTGCAGAGTTGAACCAATTCATACACAAATCAAACATAAATTGAACAACCCAAATTAAACTCTAACTTAAAAAAACCCAAATTAAACTCTAACTTAAAAAACCCAAATCAAACACAACTTGAAGAACCCAAATAAAACATAATTTGAAAACCCCAAATTAATCACAACTTGAATAACCCAAAACCCAAATCAAACAAAAATTGAAGAACCCGAATTAGAAGTGGAATTGAAGTGAGGAGAGAGAAAGAGGTACTTTGTGCCAAGACCAATAGAGAATGGAGCCGGAAGTGGAGGACTCGCGGAGTTGAGAAGACGCAAAGAAACGACCACCGACGGAAACAAGTCCGTGAGGAGGGGATAAGCAAGATTTGTAACGGAATTTTTCCGCATTAGAGTCTTCTTCCCAGCGACCTACGCCGGCGTCCATGGAAGACGACGCCATTACCACCTCCATTTTTGAATAAACAAGCAGCGACTGAGGAAGAATGAGTTCCAACTTACCTAAACGGCTTAACTCGTATAGTCTTTTACTCGAGGTGATCAATGGGCGCGCCGGGCCAGGTTCGGGCCGGGTCCAGGCAAAAAGTAGCCATTTATTTGGTTGGGCCGGGCTAAGCCAAACTTCGGGTGGGAAAATGTGTGCCCTAACTAGATGGGCCATACGGGCTTTTCAGGTCAATTTCGAGTTGGACCAAAAAAACAACTAAAATTGCATAAAATTGATTTCTCAAGCACGCTTAAAATTTTTTAAAAATTAGGCCAGGTCCGACTTGAAATTAGGCCGAACCAGGCCTAAATTGATTTCAGACTTGAAAAAGTTGTTGTTAGCTACACCCCCCACACCACCAATAAATTACCATAATATCTACACCCCTCCCCCTTAGTTTCCTACATTTTCTCTATTCTTTTATAAATCAGTTTTTCTTCATAATTTTACTAACATTTGAAATTTCCCCCTCATCATAATTTTACCACTTTCTCTCTCCTCATAATTTTAATTACCACTTTCTCTCTCCTAAACTACCACAATCTTCTAAATATTTCTTGAAATATAATCAAAATACACTTACATCTCTACTTGTAAAGGAAAAAAATCAAGAAATCGAAGAAAATTTCTACAAAAGAATGACCATAAATCAAACTGTTAATTGATAATTTTGTTTATTTTTCAAAAAAAAGATCAAACCCCAACTTTTTATTTGCCTTATTCTTCAATAATATGAAATTTCAATAGTAGTAGTTCATGATTTCTTATAATTTTACTTGGTAATAATAATTTCTTAACATTATATTATAATGATGTTTTATATACTCTATTTTAAGTTGATTTAATGTGTTATTAGCCTATACAATTACTGGGCAAAAAATTAAAAATAGAGTTCAATTGCCCTAATATATATAATGAATAATTTGATTTATTTCGCAAAATTATAGAAATAAATACAAGTTACTCATCCTGAGTAACAACAAATGTAACTCAAGGGCCACGGATGTAATTTCCTGCTTTTAAGTTGGGGGTAAAAATGTCCACAGTGTATTTCTCAGATTTGCATGAGTTTTCTACCGTTAACATTATTTTTGAGGGAAATAAGAAAAGTTAGGGTTTAGGTTTTGCTTATCTAATTCAAGAAAGAAAGAGAGTAGAACGAGAGTGTGAATTAAAGGTGTCGCTGGTAATGAGAGTGTGAATTCGGGTGGGGGTGTGCAGTGTTACAGTGGTTTCGTCAGTGATGAAAGTGTGAATTGGAGTGGGAGGTCGGTGTAAGGTTTGCGAGGTCCAAATCGTCGGTGTTGGCCAATTTCCTGCTTTGCGAGCTCCGAATCGTGGTTTTTGAAGGTAAGTTGTTCATGTACCTATGTTGGTGTTTAGTTAATTTGATAAAGTGTTAATTTTCTGCAATTTTTACAATGTTATGAATGTTTAGTTAATTTAGCTGCGAGCTCCTTTAGTTAATTTAGGTGTGAGCTCCAATATGATGCTCCTTTAGTTATTTTAGCTGCGAAAGCTCCAATATGATAAAGTGTTTAGTTAATTTGACCAAATTAATATGGTTCTTTAATCTAAATTGATATTGTTCATTTTATGAGATTTATCAATGTTATGAATGTGTTATTGTTATTTTGTTTATTTGTAAATTGGTGGCCATTGAAGACCTAAATTGTTTTGTTTTCTTAAAAAGTCATAGCCAATGGAATATGCATCTCTGTTATAGGGTTGTGTTCCCATTGATTCCATTTTGATTATTGTTTGCCATAAGATGGAATATGCATCTTTGTGGTGATAGGGTTGTGTTCATTGATTCCTTGTGATAGGTTGTTGAATACCCTTTTGTAGGTTGTTGATGAAATTTGCATAGTACACCAGGGTGTACCATGCTCACGGTACATCCTATAAAAAATAAAGGCATTTTTCTATTCAGTTTTTTTTTCTTTAAAATGATTCCTCCTTAATTTAAGGGATTTGTTAGATATTCTCCATATTAATAGTTTTCAAAAATAGATTTGATATTTTTGGAGATATATAATTACGATTTCGAAATACAGAAATAATTTCTAGAGAGAGAACATTTTTAGCATAGAAAATTAATGGCGGGGTGTAAGAAATTCGACATGATTCCACAACACATTTGTTGATAATACGTATGAGAATTAAGATTTGATTAATAATGAAGATGAATTTGAGGATTTCATAATCAAATGTGAAGGTAATTTATTTATTTTTTCAGGTTTTTTTGTATTTAAATTTTAAAATTATAATTACGATGTTGATGCTAATGATAATGTTCTTTAAATTATTAAATTTCATAATTTGTAGATTTCTTAATCAAAGGAAATTGTTTTTTTTGTTTTTTTTATTGTTTTTGTATTATTTTCAAAGGTTGAAGATGATGTTATTCTGATTATGATGAATGTTCCTTTATCATGCATTCGATTTGTTAATTGTAATGGAATATGTTCTTTAATAAGTCCGATTAATATGTTCTTTGAGTCAAAATTATATGTTCTTTGCATTACAAATTATGTTATTTAAGGTATAATGTTCTTTGTGTTTCAATGATATGAACTATGTTCTTTTTACTTGAATAATATGTTCTTCTATGTTCATGTTAGTTTGTTTTAACTCTTATGTTCTTTTGGGTATTGAGTGATATATCACATATTATTTTAAATTGAGTTTTTACAACATTTTTAATTATTAAACTATTCATCTTGAATATTTTAAATTTATATTTTTTTATGTTAATAACATTAAATAATTGTGCACATTTTTTTTTCAGGATCACGATGGTTGATGGAGATATTTTTTAGGACATCATCTATTGATGATTGATTTTTGGATCCATAGAACATCCATAACATTTATAAAGAGCATGATTATATTATGTAATAGGCACTACATAAATTTAAACATTAAAATTTAACAAGGATGGTCCAAACAAAAATTTAATAAACATTTTCACAATAAGCAATGAATTACAGTTCGAGAACATGGACATTTAATATATTTTATCAAAAGGTATAATAAAGATCATAATACTAATAGTGGACATATGGAAGAAAAATTATGCTAATAATTAATAGTACTTTGCATACAAAATAAAGTACATCATAGTTTCTAATAAAGAACATTATAAAAACATATAAAGAACATCACAAGAATTACACATGACTACTATTATTATAGTGAATATTCTAATAATTACATAAAAAAAAAAAGTTGCTGAAAGAATACGATTGATTTTGGTAGAGATTTTTTAAATTAAAGGAAATCAAATAAAATATTGGTAACTGAAATTTTAAATATGAAATGAAATTTTGAGTTTAAATTTTGAAAATAAAATCTTTCAATTATTTTGAAAATAAAATCTTTGAATTATTTTGAAAAAGAAAAAAATTATAGAATGAGAAATTTATTCTGGAATCTTAATTTTTCTTTAAAAGATTGTATCAATTAATGTGGGATTTGGTTGATTCCTTTCCGAAATTTACTGAATATTCCTAAAAAAAACTGGTGTTCTTTGTTTTACATCTACATGTTCATTTTTAGCAGAATGTTCTTTGATCCCAAGGTTTGTTGCCTGCGTTTTATTCTTTGAACAACGTCGTTTTTGCCTGAGTGTACCATGCTCATGGTACACCCGGGTGTATAATGCTCATGGTACACACGGGTGTACAAATCAATGATTAGGTTGTTGATTACTGTGTTGATGAAGGATCGACACCCATTGGTCCCTGAAATGTTTCAGGTATTGTGTGAAAACTTTGTAACTGTTTCTGATATAGTAGAAATCGTTTATCATATAATCATGCATTAGCATTATTATTAACAGGAACAGGATGATAATTCGACAATTGGTGGAGTTGTAAAAGGCAGAGGCAAAGTTCTTAAGGAATTGACTAAGCCTGGGAGGAGTATAACACCCTAGAAATTCCTTTCCTTTAAATACCCACTTTACTCTTTAAAATACGATTTAGGAATATCTAAGACATTACCGCCACCGTGAAAACGTCTAAGGCAACTATCAAAGATACACAGCGGAAGACTTAAAATTAAAAACCGTTTAAACAAGTCAACTCAAAAGTCCACCAAACGAAAGTAAAGTTGAAAACCAAAACAAACAAGGTCAAATAAAATCAAACTACAACTTGGAACCATTAAAGGCCCTTATTCAAAATGTTCCAAAACCAAACCTTTGCGTTAGTCCACACATAATATGTCATAAATAAATAAAGCATAAAACACATCGTAAACTAATGGAAACTAGCATGATTCACTCTTCACTCATGCCCCGTCATGAATATGCTTCAATACCTGAAAAGTTTATCGCTACTTGTCCCCACTACTCTCCATTAAAAATGGGTCATCATAGGGCCAAGATAAAGACATGGCCAAACACACAAACACACACAATCAGCAAAGCTGAGTACATAAGCGTAATTAAACACACTAACATGCTTTCACCTATCAACACACACTTACCTCAATGCCTGTTTACAAGCACACACAAAAATCAACAAGACACTTTAACTAGACACTAAATAATTCATTTAGAGTTGATTACGCATCGAACGGGTTTCTAACTATACCTCCCCCAAATAAATTGAGGTTAACTGACACGGGAGCTAACTGTGCCAGCGACAAAACCACTCAAAGGTGGCGGAATTCCTGTGCATAATAAAACCACTCAAAGGAATGTACAGCGTCCTGTACTCCATTAGAAGTTATGGTTAAATATAAAACCCCATAACTCCCCCCATTGTTCATACTCAAGGTATATATGTTCCAAGAGTTTTGGTGCGTAATCTCTTTCACTTTACGTTACTAGATGTAGCATCGCGTGCTACGCACGCGGGCAACAACTTGGTTAGTATATATCTAAGTATTGTTAAATAGATTTTTTATCAATTGACATTTGGTAGGTTTAAGTACTATACAAATATTTACAAAATACAAAAAAGTTGGGAGAAAAAGAGTATAGACGTACAAACTGAATTTATTATTTT